TGAGAATTAGGGGGAAGGGAAAAATGTGAAGAGTGAAGAGTAGAATCATCAGCGTAAGAATGGATAGAATTAGTCATAATGTGAAGTAAATCAACGTAAGAATGGATAGAATTAGTCGTAGTGTGAAGTAAATCTTTGATAAAAAGAAGTTAGAGAGTAAGTGAAAGAACAGAACACTGAGGGACACCACTATTGGTAGAGAGAGAGAGAGTTTGATCCCTCGACAACAACTGCCATGGATCGGTTCTCAAGGAAGCTAGAAATTAGAGAACAAAGTGGAGGAGAGAAACCATAAGGTGAAAGTTTAGAAAGCAGACTTGTGCCATACCCTGTCAAATAATTTGGAGATGTTGAGGGCCACAACTAAAGTTTCCCCATAATCCCTAAGAGAGGATGACTAAAGATGGGTGCAGTAGGAGAGCAGATCACCAGTAGATCTCGCTTGGCGAAAGCCATACTGGTAATCCGACAAAAGAGAGTTTAAGATAATTTCAAAAATCTTAGAGAGGGGTGAAGTTAGGGCAATGGGGCGATAGTTAGAGGGATTGGAATGGTCACCCTTCTTTGGGATGGGCTGAACCGAGGCATGCTTCCAAGAAGGAGGAAAAGTTTGGGTTTTGAGGCAAAGGTGAAAGAGGCGAGAAAGCACAGGGACTAAAATTTCGGCACACTCCATCAGAACATGAAGGGGTATTCCGTCCGGTCCATGCGCCTTACTCACATCCAACCTGGATAACACACCAGCAACCCTATGAGTGGAGATTATAGGAAAGTGTATAGATTCAGTAGGAGAGATAGAGTTGGAATTGTCTAAGGTGGAGTTAGAAGAGAATAAGGTACCAAAGAGATTGGCTTTATCAGGGGGAGAGTTGGCTATAGAGTTATCAGGTCAGAAGAGAGGAGGAAAAGAAGGAGTGCAGAAGTTATTAAAGATGTATTTGGTTAAGGACCAGAAGGATTTACCAGAGTTAGTCAGGTCAGCGGTCTTTCTTTTTATAAAATTCCGCTTGGCCCTACGAAGAATAACTTTACAACGATTCCTAGAAGTAATGAAAGAGGAGTGGGCCTCAATGTGCCACATAATGGCATTAAAATCCTTTTAAATTATTACCAGTTTTGGATGCAACTGAAAAACACCACATATTATCAGAGATAATCAAATGGTTATTCTTATTATTTTTCACAATGGCTACCTCAAGCCAATCAGTTAGTCAGTCCCTTAAAGGCCTCTCCTCCTTCAAATGTCCAACATTACAAAAAAATTCAAAAGTTTTAAAGAAACCAAAGCATAAGGTGCACAGTCTGAGTGTCCAGTTTTAGTGAATATTGACTGGCATCTCACCTGAATGGGAATCACATATTTAACCCCAGTGTATATTTGGGAACATTTAAAATAAATAAAAAGCAATTCTATTCTTACAAATTGACCATGAATGATATAAACAGAAAATAAATACATGTCCTTACCACACTCTGGCAACACAAAAGCTAGGAAAAGTCAAGAATGTTTGTGAAGTGGCATGTGTGACGCAATAGTACAAGGTAAACGACACTAATTTGTAGGCAGTATGAGGTATGGGACACTAGTTTTACTATGTTATTACTATTTACACTATTAACAATAATTATCACTTCTCCAATAATTTATCACAATACTAGACGTATGTAGGCTTAGTGGTTGGGGTAGAAGCACATTAAGTGAATCAATTAGAAAGGCAAGATGCCTACATCACAAAAGCTGAGAAGCTCCCTGTGTAAGTAAGTGAATGATAAATACCTACTTGGCAACATAATCTAGCCCGCGAAAGATCAAAACGTCTTATGACATGACCCGAAGCTCTACAGAAGCGCATCATATGATGTGATCCGAAGCCTAGGGATTAATGATGATTAGAGTTCAGTTGTATTTACTTAACTATTAAACCTTCATGAAAATGGAATCATTGATATACAATAACTACTTCACCATATAAATTTAATCACAATGCAAAATTGATTAACAATTATGCAAAATCAAATATTTTAAGAGTCAAGGCATCTTCAAGGCAAATAAAACAATCTTTCTAGTCGACTATAATAATGACCAATTTCCAAAATGCCTTGAAAGCTTTACAATACACGGGAGGATGAAATTAAGCTACAAAATATTCTGGGAATTCTTGTTTAATCTTAAGACCAAATTCATCATGACTGGATGACAGGTTTGAAACCATGATAAGCAGAGCCTGATGTTTAGGCACTTAAAATCCTAAATAAAGGCAAGATATACAGTTGTAATAGGCAACATGTAAAATTGATGATGACTTTAGTTATATTTTACGTAAAAAATACTTACTGGCTATATATAAATATTGTGCATTATATGAAACCAGTATTAGTAAAATTACTGAGTTATGCAAAATTAACTTAATTAATTTTCTTACTTGAAACTTTGCTGCTTCTCCAAGAATGGGGACATAAAAAGTTGCCAGGTTTCAAAATAATTTTCTGTAATGTAGATTATTCAATTGTACTCTCTCCACGTGTGTATCTTACACGCATTCAACTTTATGCGCTTGGGTTAGGAAAAAACAATGATGCAGTGAGTGTTGGAGCATATGGCCGAGGGAGATAATTCCACCCGCTCCTCTCTCGCCCTCATTTGCCGCTTGTACTACATGTTGTTCATTGTCAATAGCTCCCGTCACTGTTTGTGACTAGCGTATACATGTGTTTAAAGCTAAAATTTTTTGTGAAAGGGAATCAATATTTCTTCATGTGCCAGAGTAGCACTCTAATCTGAGTAGCGGAGGGGGTTTGGGTTGTGTGCCTCTGGTTGCTAAGGGTTGTTTGGCAGAGGCAGCACATCCCAGCTGTGCTGCGATGCAGTGTGCACTATCTTGTAAAATTTTTGCTTTCATTATTTTTCCTAAATATTCTCTGCTGAAATCAACTTGACAATCAATGGCAAAGATGATAAAGTAAACTTACAGCAGAGGTGGTCGTGTGGTGCGCATTTAATATAAAATTTGCCAAACCAACAGTCACCAGATACCTATTGTAAAACTACCCACTGCTTCCACACTTATGATCCTCTCACAGAATATAGGCCCATGCTCTACATATTTCTTATTCTTTAGTTTTATATTATATTTTCTGTATTTCTAAGTCACATTAGAGTAATGAAATGATTTTTCCACTACTTTTAACTTAATTATAATGTAACAATGGCAACATGGATTACCATCCCTCACAGGCCACAGCTGACTGGCATGTGTGTCAGGTTTCGAGTTGTGCACTTTGTATACTGTACATGTAGGATGCTTCAACAGTATCATGAAAATATAAATTATTTCTGGCAGCATTAATGAGTTTATTTTCTATTTTAAGCTTTATTCTACTATTTATGAGATAGCAATATATACGGTCTCCCCACACAACCAGGCTCTACAAACTTCCACGTTTTAGTTTTATATAATATTTCCTTTATTTTTAAACCACATTACAGTATAGGTATATATAACCATATACTTGTCGTGAATTAAGGGATTTTCGAAGGTAATTTTGACACGACTGTACGCTGTTGACCAGTTTTCCCACCAATGCCATCTTTGTCCACTGAAGTCTCTAAAGGTTGAGACACAATGTACTGTACTACTTCTTGAACTTCCCTGATTTCTCATACATTTTGCAAAATAATACTGCTCCATCTGTAGAAAACACATTGTACCAAACTCTTCAACTAAATTGTTGTTTTGGAGAGACACTCAGTTTAGGCATTGTAAGTGAAATGTGTCCAGTAGTGGTTGAAGAGAATTGACAGACTCAAATAGTATGGTCAAGGCTGCGGAGGACAGAGCACCATGCCAGGATATATAAGTATTCACACATACTGTACCCAACATACATACATGTCAGAATAATGCCATAGGAATGTTCTATTTTAACCGCTATCATTGCCTTCGGATGATTTATCGCAAAAGCATCATTGTTATCGTAAGACAATTGGAGCCATGAATTTAAAACGGTGCGCCAAAAATTCATACTAAGAATGGAAAGTTGATAATTGGTAGACACTCCAGAGTGAGAGACAAGGCTAGTGGAGCCTTAGAATCAACTTTTCATAATTTTGGAATGATCAAGAATTATTTAGGCCTCATCACCCTCCTCCTACCCTCAGTAGCCCCTCACCCACAATGCCAGTCTGGCTCACCACCATGCCATTAGTCACCACAATCATTTTTTGCATCACAATCACCAGTGTTCAGCAGTTGTCAGATACACTCCACCTCACTTCTCACTCATAACTCACCACCCAAGATGAGTAAAAATTTCTAATATTGTTTTTATGACTTAAATTTTGTATCTTCAATTTTATAAAATCATTATTATTTTTTAACTTTCGTGACTTTTTTTTTGCAGTATTTGTATATGGGGTACCCTTGATTTCCCATATGCCTCTGTTCTTGGGTTAAGTAAGCTGCTTCAGGGTAAAGGCGCAGGACATTATTTTCTTTAAGAACAGCCAAATAGTAATTAAAAAACACTTAGATGTTTTCCTTGAAGCAGAATGATTCAAAATCAATGAAAATAGGAAAAGTAGGCATATTAAGACAAATGTGACAATTATATATAGTTTTTTTTATAAATAAGTAGGTATTTGTCATTTTGCCTGAACATCCAGGCTCTAAAAATAAGCAGAAGTACCCCACATACATAGCACACAGCCAGCTAACACATGTGTGGCAGGTATGACTGAGCTCCTATGCTAACCTCCATCCAACCAAGATGGAGTTTAGGTTTGGACCTTTTCATATAAAGGTACCAGACAATTTATATAACCTGCACCCCAGGAGGTTGTTTATACACAAGTTATTATAATTTTGTTACGGTTCACTGTATCAAAAGGTTAAGATGGGTACAGAGATCAAATGTCTAATGTTAACAAATGGACCAACAAAGATTATGACTAAATGAAATGTAAACTACAAAAAAAAATGGTATGGAGTAATAAAATCCAATTAAAAAAAACCCACAAGTACTTTATTTAGTCTAGATTATCCACAAGCACTAAACAAGGTGTATGTCGAGAGAGTAATGTCACAATATAAGAAAGGCTGAATTTCTTCAACATGACCAAAATACTAAATACAGGTATTGTATAATGAAGTGTAGAATAGTTGAAGACACACAAGAAATATTACTTATCTAATTCTTCTAGTGGCCATATCTGTGGAAAAAGAAAATTTGTCTTCAGTAAAGTAAATACTCTTAAGATATTATTTCTACAACAAGGTTATCAATAAGAAAATGTACTGGGGGGGTATTTACCAACTGATAGGTCTTGAAAAAAAAGAACATGTTAGGCCAGGGATCCAAGGGAATCACTTATACACTAGTAGATCCAGGGTATAGTGTGTGTGTGTGTGTGATTTTAATGGGCTCTTCAGTTAGCATAGTTCAATATTTTACAGAGGGTGTTTTAATAAAATCCTTCATGTGGCTCATTTTAACAACCCTGCTAAAGAGTACGGTAGGTATTTAATTCACTGTAACTCCTCCAAAATGAATCTGGATACAGTAAAGTGCTATTATAAGCTTTAAACAACACATATATATACTGTAACCCAACTAAAGTTAATAACTTCACAGTACACTTCATGATACAATTAAAATTTGTAACTTTTCCTGTTGAAATTTTACTTCCAATCCAGACCCTAAAAACACCTAATTCTACTGAATACTTTATAATCTTAACCTCCCTTTCAAAATTAAGCCCATTTCTCTAAATTTCCTATTAACTATTCTTATTTGCCCACCATCCAACAGGCAAATCAGTGAAGGTTATGTTCCCAATCAGTGCAGTTACCAGGTGTACAGTATATATACTGCATGTTGACAAATGAATTGCTTGGCCTAACTGATCCAACCTATTCTGGTTGATATTATCTATATATACAGTAGGTATGTACAAATAAATTAATAGATACTCACTTCTGGAATTCCCATTCCCTATTATCTAGGGGGCAGACTTGACGGGTCTTCAGCCATCGGGATATACAGTGAAAATGGAAAGCGTGCTGTGGACACAAATAGTAAATTATGTGTTAAAGATGCTTTACAATATATTATAGTCAGTTTCCTAGACAATCTTTATACTGGCACCTAAATAATCATGGTACAAGTATCCCTAGACATATGAACGTTTGTGATACGAAAATTTGCTGACACGAATTTCCTAAATTTACACCATTTAGTTACAAAAGCTTTCCCTGCTTTCATGAATTTGGGCCCTGGCAAATATTCAAATCACATGCCCCCCGAGAGTCAGCTGGAAAAGCCACATCCCCCTAGCGCTTTTCCTAACAGGCTGAGGTAGTTATGGTTATTTTTCAACTTGTAATTTTGGGTATACAGTACAGCATAAACAAAACTTTGTATTTTTGTCACTCCGTTAGAGGCACACACAATCACAATTCTGCATACAAAATGTGCAAAAAAAAAAAAATAATTATCATAAGGTCAGAAACAAATGGACCAAATGTTTTTTCGTGCACCAGCGAGAGTTAGCAGGATGAGCTGTGGGAAGTTACAGTATGTTATGATTATTTTTCAACTCGTAGTCTTGGATGAAAACTCATCTTCACTTATTTTTTACTCACTTACATGCATACACAATCCTAAGTACTACATAATGTGCAAAAAAGTAAAAGAAATAACTATCATAAGGTCAAAAAGGTAAGAGAATAAAAAATATTTTGTGTGTGACGGTGGGAGAAGAAGCTTTGCAGGTTGGCAGAGGCAGCCAGGATGGTTGCTATGGCAACACTTGAGAGCAGCCAGGTGTTAAGTAGCCAGCGTCTGCAAATGGCACGGCTGACGGCTGCATTAAACATTGATTTAGCCTTTCCTTAATAGTTTTTATTGCATTGGGTAGTACATTACAGTAAATGGGGTCCCCCGACTTTCAAACATTCGCCTTACGAACGAACGGGGTTAAACTCGAAATTGTTTTAAAAGTATAAGTGTGTCCTATATGAAATATGTATTAGAAAAAGTTAGTGCATACTGAATAGAGGAGAAAGGAAACAATATAAGAGGAAATAGAGAGACAGATAACCAGAGAGCCAAACAAGGCATATCAAGACAGGTTTTCCGATACTTCATGTCTTTCTTTGCCTTTCAGAAATGTCTGGAATACGTGAGCGACTAAGGCAAGTAAAATGTGAACGGAAAATCTTTTTTTTTTTTATATACAGTACAGTATATGAATTTATTCTTTACCTATATATATTCCCAAAGGTGGTTTACCTCCTTGTCTTACAATCAACTTCATCTCTGTAATCTTAATTTATATTGTGTCTGTCCAATAATTAACAAGTGCAAAAGAATACCTAGTCTATTCAGATCTTTTATTTCATTTACCCACTAACATTCTCGTCTGTGCACAAGTGATTTTTGCATTGTGCAGGTCAGTAATAGAAAATTATGTAACTTCAATGGAAGATAAACTATTTATCATTGTAGTTTACACTATCTGACATATCTAGTTATGATATTGCCCATTATCATGAAAAAAAAAATTGCAAGAAAAAAGTGTTTTCCCCACAAAATCATAAATTTACCTTAGATTTTATTACTTTATGACTTTTTAATTGTTAAATATAGATTCCTCGCACTTTTTTCATTAAGAAAAAGTCGTTAAAACGTTAATGTAAGCATTTCCATTTTTTAGTGACTTTTGGCACTTACTGGAGAATACCGCCGAAATTGGCCGACACAGTGAAAGGATTAAGGCAGGGGTTCTCAACCAGGGGGGAATTTCCCCCCTCAGGTTTTCAGGGGGGGGGAACTGATACTAATATGGAAAAAATAAAGGATTTTCAGTATTATCTGCATATTATTTGGAATGCACTTTTTGAGGCAGACAATCTTGGAAAGGAGGGGGGGAATGACATTCTGACATGGTGAAAGGGGTGCATGGGGCAAACAAGGTTGAGAACCACTGGATTAAGGAAAGTACAAGATAACCATGCCACTGTTAACCCTTAACACTATAAGCATATCATCATCATCCCCTCCCATGCACAGGGCTAGCTGTGACTTTCTGGAAAGGGAGAACCACACTATCTTTTTTCTTTTTTGGATCCATTTTACTTTAACTTTTTTTTTTTTATAAAACTAACTACATTCTATGTAAAATTACTCTTTAAAATAAAACAGTACAGCAAACTTTTGAAAAACAGAGGACATTTTTTATGTGAAGTTATGCATTAGTTTTTAATGCAACTTGCAAACACAATAACTTAGTGTTGGGTAAAAAAAAAAATAAAAAGGCAGACATTTTTAACATCAGAAATTGGATAAGAGTAATATAATAAGAATGATAAATTGGAAAAACAAAAACAGGGAAAATGCTTAAAAAAAAAAAATGTATATTTTTTTAGTTTTAGCCATTACTTTTATTTTTATTTTTGGTTTAATTTTTATTCCATTGGATACAATAAGTGTCTCGGTATGTTAAGGGAGGTTTATAATTTTGCTAGCATGTACATCGCCCAAAAAATTTCGCTTCCCGTGGTGAAACCGTGTTACAGGAATGAGTCTCCGAACTCAATTACCCTGACTGTTGTCTGGTGAGGTTGTGCCGTTTTATCTCATTTAGGGTCGCTGCTGCTTCATTCTGGGAGGGAGCGAACCTTTGACACTGACTGCAAATTTTAGCTGTAAGCAATTAAAAAAAAAAAACGGTTCACACACTGTACTGTACGAGGTCTGCCCAAAAAGAAACCGAACCTTTTAAAAAAACAAATTTATTGCTTTAATTACAACTTGAACAGACTTGTCTCCTTCAAAGTACCCCCCCACCCACTGTTGATACACCGCTTCCAACGTTTTTTTCCAGTTCTGGAACTCGTCCTGGAACGCGTTTTGAGGGGTGTGCAGGTCTCGTAGCGCATTTTCTTCTATCGTTTGAAATCGGCGACCGTGCAGGGTGGATTTCAACTTTTGGAAAAAAAGTCCGCAGGGGCCAAATCCGGAGAGTAGGGCGGCTGGGGGGGACGATAGTCATCTCGTGCTTCACCAAAGACACGGATAAGAAGCGACGCGTGAGCAGGAGCATTGTCATGGTGCAGCATCCAGGTCTTGTTTGTCCATGCCTCAGGCCTCTTCCTTCGCACTGCCTCCGTCAAACGCTTCAGGACCTCCAAGTAAAACTTTTTATTGACCGTCTGACCACGTGGAACAAACTCATGATGAACGACGCCCTTCCAATCAAAAAAGACGATCAACGTCACCTCCACATTTGAGCGACTGACGTCCAGATTTGGGATCGTCTTCCCTTTTGAAACGCTGGTAACACACGTGACATTGCGTATGGCTCAAACAATCCTCCCCATAAGCCTGAAAAGTCTCCTTTAAAGTTTTTCCCAATTTGAAACAGAATTTCACGCAAACACGTTGCTCTTCAAGATCCTTCTTTGTTCAACTTGCAACAAATTGCCAAGTGCACTAAACACACGTTCACTATAGCACGTGTAGCTCGATGGCTAACTGACGTGGCGTGATACGGCTAGTGTTAGACTAAAGGTCAAGGTCACCGTTACACAGTGCTCCCATCGCGAGCACGTTGCGCCGGCTCGTTGGGGCACTATTTAAAAAGTTTTGTTTCTTTTTGAACAGACCACATATTGAAAAATAAACCAAAACACACTTTGTAAAAACCAATAAATAATCTTAAAAATAATTTTACAGACAAATATTACTGCACAATGAAGGGCAGGAGTGTGTAAGAGGGCCAACAGAAAAAAATTAAAGGGAAGGTGCACAACACACCCCTACTTGACTGCTGGGACACTATTGAAGTGCTCAAACATTGCACAAGGGGGGATTGCCACATATCTAGTTAGTGTTGGATTACCATTACAGAATGGTTTGAGGATTTACTTGCCAAAATCTCACATTCATAATTACAGTACAGTATAGTCTGGATTTATGCAGATATTTTATGCGCGAATTGCCACTTATGCGGCACCTGTCCAGACGCGATAATTATTATTTATGCGGTAAATGCCATCATATACACGCCAAGCGGCGGGCAAGGTGCTGGGCACTGACGTCAGACTCGTGCCGATGACGTCGCGGACTGTGATTGGGCCATGTATTCTTACCACCCAGGCACCCCCTCTGCTGCACGCTGTGATTGGTTTATTTAACCTTGCTCGCCCTGCCACCAGGGCTGATGACCTTGGCCGTGCCAATCTCACTGTCCCCGCGTATACTCATTCGTGCCCAGGAACTGGTTTTGTTTTTTCTTTCTACACAATGGCTACCGCTGACCCCCACCACCCCTGAGAAACCCTGATCTACCTGACCCAATCCGCCCCAAGCCCAAGAAGGTGCGACGCGCCTTAAGCTATGAGGTTAAGTACAAGATCGTTCAGGAGTTAGAAAAAGGCACGAGGCAGGTGAATATGGCCAGACAATATGGAGTGAATGAATCGACCATCCGCACGATCAAGAAGGATGCCAGCAAAATCAACGAACACATGAACATTACCAAGTCTGTAGGTGCCTCGCTGGTGAAATATTGCCACAATAAGGTGCTGCTGAAGACAGAGTTGTTTGGTAAGCTACATTATTCGTCAATCTAGAAGGAACATGGCAGTTGACACTCGGGCAGAGCAGGACTACGCCCGAGAACTCTACAAAGCAGTGGCAAGAAAAATGAGAGTTGCAGAGCCCAAGCCCTTCAATGCTTCTGCTGGGTGGCTGCAAGGTTTTAAACAATGCAACAAGATCACGAATACTGTTTTGAGATAGTCGGAGAAGGAGCAAGTGCCGACCGGGCTGCCGCCATGAACTTTACCCCATTTTTACGGAAAATTATGGAGGAAGGACAGTACACTGACGACCAAGTGTTCAGTATGGATGAATCAGGGTTGTACTGGAAGAAATTGCCATCCAAGACCTTCGTAGTCAAGTCTGCGAGCAAGTGTCGGCGGCGCAAAATGCAGATGGAACGCATCACCGTACTGTTCACCACCAATGCCTCCGGCACTAAGCTGAAGTTGTCTGTGATCCACAAAGCCCGCAAGCCGCATGCCTACAAGAATATGGATATGAGCAAGTTAAATGTCCACTGGCTAACCCCAGGGAAGGCGTGGATGTTCTCTGGTCTGTCCCTCTCCTGGTTTGACAACTGTCTCGTTCCTGATATCAAGAAATTCTGTGTGGAAAATAATGTGCCATTCAACATTTTGTTGCTCCTCGACAACGCACCAGGACACTCGTCCCTTTTGCTGGATCGTCACCCCAACGTAAATGTGGTCTTCCTTCTTGCTAACACTACGTCGTTAATCCAGCCCATGGATCAGGAGTTGATTTGCAATGTGAAGGCTGCTTTCTCCGCCAAGAAGTTTCGGCTCCTGAACGACTTCAACACCAAGGATGAACTGTAGAACCTAGAGTGGCACCGATAGCGAGGACAAGGAGCACGAACAAGATTTGGCGGACCAAGAAATGCGGGTCAAGCAGTTCTGGAAGCTGTTTAACGTGAAGAAGGCTGTTGATTTCTTGGAGGTATGGAGGGGCAGCTATCTGTGGCAACGATTCGACACGCATGGCGTCATGTGTTGGAGGGTATCCCAGGTGGGAGGCAGAGGCAATCGGTGGCTGGCGAGACTCCGTCTGTTGTTGTGGCATTGGAGAATGCAAGAGGGGCTGTACAAAGTGTTAGAGCTGCAGGCTTCTCCGAGACCACCAATGAGGACATCCTGGAGGTAATTAGGCAACCCGAGGTGACTGCGGACGAGATGTTGGAAGATGATGACGTCAGTGAGCAGCGAGGTGTTACAGAAGAACAAGAGCAGAAACTAACACATGCTGATGTGAAGGAAATCATCGAGGTAGCCGAGAGATTGAAGCTCCTCCTTGCCAAAGACACAGGAAATCATCGCTACAAAGTGTCTAATAACCTTCTGTTGCAATCCCTGGAGCCCTATGTTCAGCATTATCACGACCACATCAATGCTAGCCGTCAACAAAACATCACCGAGTTCTTCACCCGCCAACCACCACAGCCAGCCCAAGTCAGTGATAGTGAGGATGTGGACTTTGAGGGGTTTGACGAGGAGGCCCTGCTAGCCTCCGTGGTGGATAAAGATACAGGTGAGGGCCAATAATCTGCCCTCTGCCTTGGAACCAACCCCCCATCCCCGTGTGTCCAGCCATCTCTTCTACTAACGTAAGTGTTAAAAAACTTAATAATATTGATATTTCTCTTATATATTAATTGAGTATGCATACCATCATAAAATTAAGATGTTATTTTTACTACAATGTACGTATTGTCGGTGATAGCCAAAAAAAGGGTAGTCTGGCTGTCGGCCCAGTCTCTATTTCAATTAATCCCATATGTTCTGTTATTTTATTTACGAGCGTTGCTTTATACGCGGACCTCCATGGGTTTAATTAACCGCATAAACCCAGACTATACTGTACTTGATTTTGAATGATTTTTTTTTCTTTTGAAAATTGCAAAAATGGTGTCAGTGTCAGTGTCAATTTGAAGAGACTAAAATTTTTAAAGACTGATCATGGTGCCTGTGTGTTAAACTGTGACTACAGGAAAACCTGGCTTAATAAAAAAGAAAATAAAAAATAGCATTGAGTATTTAAAATGAGCATGTGGGGGCTGACCAAAAACCCCTCTTAATCTCAATACAAAACTCAAAACTGCATAGCCCAGCGCAGCATGTCCGTACACAATATGAGGCTGGGTATTTAGCTCCTATATATCATCTGTAGTCAGCAGAGGAAATGTTTCAAATACAGGAAGGTGACAATTGGAATAAGGGGCTAATGTTGTGAGTCAAATGAAGAGTGGAATGCACAGCAACAGCTGTGTGGCTCTTGTCTACAATAGCTTTCAGTCTTGAGTGGCAAACATGAGTGTATTGGTGGGAATTTAACCTGTTATTGGTCAAATTCGTAGATCTACATACATGAGTGGCCTTCTCTGAGCGGCTTAGTACATAAATCTACTAGTTTTACTTTTAAAAACCCCTGCAGCGTCTGAAATGTTACTTGTATATTACTTGTAATTCGAAACCCATTCCCCAAATATGTAACTGTATATTTTCAGCCTTCTGGCTGCCAAGCTCTTTCAATAACCTGTAAATTATTATTATTATTATTATTAAATGGCCCAGAAGGATTAATATATATAAAATAAAACAAATGGCAACCTCTCAAGACACATCAGCCTGTTTCAGCAATGACTTTCCCTTCAAAATGCTCTTCTAAATCAGATACTGCTACTAGGCAAGGTGTGATAGGGAGTCGGAAGGTGAAACACACTGCCACCACTACACCCACACACATCCAGCCACTCTTCTCACCACTTCCCACGTTTGCTTCCCTCAACATGTGCAAAGAAATATGCCCAGAGATCTGATCATGTATGCAAGAAAACAGTGTTACAAGAAAAAGTGCACAAAGGCACTAGGTATTGCTGCAGCGAGTGATTGTTCCATTGCGTTTGATGCCCTGCTTTGAGCAATATCATCCTATCATAAACTAAAAAACAAAGAAGTAACATTGTAAATACACCTATACATATATAATTAATGTAGAAGTAAGAAACTTTGGTGAAAAACAAAAATACTCATGTTTTAAGAAACAAATAAATAAAAATTTTTTTTAGCCAATTAAGGAGGTAATATTTTAAGATTCCATAACTCGACCAAATACGGGCTAACATGAATCATTCTGAAATGATGTCAAGTTGAAAACAAATTTGCTCAAGTTAACCAACATTCACTAGCCAGACAAAATACTAACAGTAACTACTGTACTACATTTTTACTCACATTACACACTCCCCATGCTACGGTACATTCTTCTGATGTTACTGAGGCCTGGTTAGCTTGACATTCTATGCATAAATCCATAATATGGTTCCGGCAAATGGCACAGTTGTCAACAACAATATCTGAAAGTTGAAGAACCTGTATTTATTCTATGGACTATGTTGCTTTAACATTTTTTATGGAAAACTGTATACTGTACTGTATGAATAACACTGGAGCACAGATAGTGTAAAATACTTATGCTAGCATACAAATGACATACAATCATCAGTCTTTAAAAATTCAATAAATATCCATCTATAGGCCTGTAGGTCCTTGTAGTACCATGTTTAGATTAAAATGCATGCTATCCTTCCTACCACAAGTAAAAACAAAAATAGATAAGAATGCAATATTTCATAATAATAAAGGCCGAACGTTTTAAAGATTTATAAATATTAATAGCGGTTATTAACAAACTCGCTTCATAAAGGTGGTTACCATTATATTTACAAATTGGTGTTTGATATTACAGAGCAATCATATACAAACAGGTACAGTACAATACTTGAAACAGCATCCAGGGGTTCCCTGACTTACGAATGCCCGCTGATACAAATGGAATTAAACTTGAAATTTACAGTACAGTACAAGTATTTTATTTACCGGATTTATTTTTTACTTTCATTTACTGTATTTTGTCATTCTAATTCTTTTGTCTTAAATTGAGTGATTTTAGATGTACAGTATATAAGGACTTGGGCCATGATATAGTGAGATTTTAAACGTTATTTTATAAGTATGGTATGCACATAGCATGTGTTCCGACTTAAGAACGTCCTCAGGAACGGAACCCGGTCGTAACCTGGGGACCCCCTGTATTACAATATAAATAAAACTCTACTTACCCCATGCCCAGAGAGCCACAGCATTCCACTGAAAAATTAGGAAAATGTTAGTAAGCAGCCAGTAAATAACTTCACCTATATTGTTAAAACAAAGATTAATTCCTAAAATCTTTAGTTATCAGTCATAAAACTGTCACTACCTCACAAACCCCCAGGGAATCTATGTCCATCAGGAACAGTTGAGACCTTTTTGTTACTTTCCTTACCCTGAACACATCTGCCCTCAATAATAAGAATGCAAGTACTGAAGCTACTGTAATGGTAAATCATCATCATCATCTGCAATGGTAAATGTAGTGTCTAATCATGGGTAATATCTCCAAAAAAGATGCATTCCACTATTTATTTTAAGAAAAATACGAAAGAAAAACCTAGTTTTGCAATCAATTTCTTGTTATGGCATCTGTTCGTGTTCTGGGTAATAAGTTCAATATACAGGAGCGAACACAAACACCTGTATAGTTTTGTAGGTTCGATTTACTGGATAAGAGATATGTACACAAGGGGAGTAGCGCTCTTCAACCTGTCCACTGGTCAACTACTCTATAGACGACGTATGGCAAGTGAGACATTAACAGCTTCCATACGTCGCCAGGCACATTAATTAGGCATGTGGGATATCTTAAATATATTGCCACACGCTACTAGTTAGGCTGAATAAATAGTACATAAATGGAGCACATACATAATATACATAGCATAATATAAATACATATTCAGAATATACGTACAGCATCAAATGAATCTTGGTACTACATGTAATAGTGGAGCAAACAGTTAGCACCTGAAGACATTGATATAATTCTTTCATATTTTCCAGTTGTTGTTTTGATGATAACTATAATTGAAACGACACAGTACAGGGATGCGTCATTTAGCGATTGGGATGCATTCCTGAAAAACAGATCGCTAAGTGATTCGGTCGCTGAGCAAACAGAAACAAAAAATAATATCTCAAACAAGGGATAATGAAGAATATCATCTCTGGAAATGACACGTAATTGTGTAGCAGTCACCTGACTCAAGAGCAGGTGAAGGTGAGCTGTGATATATGTAATTCTTCAACTTGTAATTTCGGGTACATGTAAGTTATTGTCATGGGTTGCGTTAGGCTTACCCACGCAACCAATTTCAAAGTTTGTTTTACTAGAGATAAGGCACCCGGCGAGCCATGACCACGACATTTTTTCCATTAGTGGTATGTTTGCCAGTCTATAGGGGGAGGCTATTGAGACAGTATTGTACTGTTCATCGCCGCACGCCCCAAAAACACAGTTAGTAGTATTCCCTAGGCCATGTGTTAAGACATCATCCCCACCCTCTTCCTCCTGAAGGGAACAGGACACCACACAGAGTCCTCCGCCGCCACCCATCCTGTGGACCGTCAGTGACATGAGACTAAGTGTGCTAACCCAAGTTAACCTGTGGAAATATCACGTGTGGATGCCTGGTTGCGACAAGAGCAATCCAGGCTGGCCTATCAAACCTACAGTAAATGGTTAATCAAGTCACGCTTACAGAGTTCTCCTGCACGACACCCGTCTACAGTGACCGTGATCGACACGAGATTAAGTGTTTTAACCTAGGTTTGTTATCCCCGTGGAAAAATCACGTGTGGAAGCCTGGTTGCAACAAAAGCAATCCAGGCTGGCCTACTGAACCTAAGTGGTTAATCAAGTCACGCTTACCAGTTCTCCTTGCTACGACAACTGTCTACAATGACTGTCAGTGACGCGAGACTATGTGTGGTAACCCAATACAGTAGTACTTTTTTTATGTTATTCCCCGTGGAAAGCTGTGCGGAAGCCTGGTTGCAACAAGAGCAACCCAGGCTGGCAGTAAATGTATCACTTGCAGAATTAAGGCTCTGTTAAGTCATACCTACAGTAGAGTAATCACATGTGTCCCCAAGTTGAAAATTCCCTCTTCTAGAAGAGTAACTTTATTACAGCGTGAATGTGAGTGACTCGTATATCCATGCAAATTGTAAGTCATTGCATGGAAGCTTGCAAAATAAATGTAAGTGCAATTATCTGCCCGTATCTGCGATCATATCTTATTATTACTAAAGGTGATGACTAATTGGTTATGACAAAGTATAACCAATAACTTAGATGGATGTTGGAAATTAATGGAACTTATTGAATCATCATTAATCAAGTATAAATCATGGAATGTAGAGTGGTGGAGTGAATTTCTACGTAGATACACCATAATCTCCTTTAAGTAACCAGTGTGAAGGTATCGAACTCTACGGTAAGAAATATAAAAACCCAATACTGTATAATATAACCTAATATAACATCCACACCTAGACTTTATATAAAATCCATGACAGTTATTTTCTTCATTTTCTTGTACAGTACTCCGTTACATGCACACGCATTCGTTCAAACAGAATGTGGCAAAAAAAAAAAAAAAATTATCATAAGGGAAAAAACAAAAGGAATACAGTAAACAGTTCTTACCTGGTCCGCTTGTTAACCGACAAGAGTGGAGGGGGAGGGAGGAGAAATCACTACTTCACAGTATACCACGATAGTACAGGGTAATGAACAGTCCATACATTACTTACCGTATTTTACGGCATACGTATAAGGCACACAGCCATATAAAACGCATCAACCATTTTAGCAGGAAGTATTAAGGAAAAAACTTGTGTGAATTTTCCTCCTGTATCCATAATTTCTTAAAACTATATATAGAGTACAAGTAAATGTGAGGAATAAATATAAATACCAATAAATAAGTTACAACTACGGGTGTCCACTATAAAACAGTGAAGTTGCTGTATTTTAAAAATCTTTTCTATGAAAATTCGGGGAGAAAGAAAAACCATTCTATTACATTCCATCACAATTTTTTTTTTTTTTTTTTTGTATTTTAACCGATATGTCACCCCAATTAAATTACCAAAGAATATTGGTTGTTCAAAATGGGCAGGGCTTTAAGTAGAGGGAAAAAACACCAAACAAACCTTTGTAAACCTTACCTAACCTATAAAAAGGCTAAAAATTGCTTTCGAGTTTATGGGTCCCTCTCCTCATCTAGACACCAAAAACTACATCATCACATACTAAACACTGAAAACACAAATAAAGTAAGTAAGCATTTCACAGTTTTTGGATTTTTATTACGTATATGTTAGGTAAGGTCTACAAAGGCTTGTTTGGTGTTCTTTTTCCCTCTACTTAAAGCCCTGCCCACTTTACGGGGAATATCCTACCCAGGCACAGGTCATCAACCCACAACGGGACCTAAGGAGTGGAAAAATAAGAGTAAAAAGAAATTAAAATAGAAAAGAGAGATTAATCTACACCACAAAGATGCCGGAAAACCAGCTTTTTGAAGTGAGACAGATTGTATGGGTATGGAAACAGAAGAAGGCAGAGCATTCTACAGTTTGGCTGTGCGAGGAAAGAAGGACGTAATATAATGGGTTATTCTAGCGTGACCGACATCCGCAGAGAACTGGTGGGCACCGAGGGCATGACGAGAATTACGAGCCCATGGCTTTGCCAGCGGTACACTGGATACCAAATCCACCGAACATTGCCTGTTAAAGTACCTGTAAAAGAAAGAGTGAGGCAACATTGTGGAGAAGAGAGAGGGAAGAGATTATCAAATAAAAGAGGAGAGTTAATAAGACAAAATGCCTATGATTCCACCCCATCTAATAGTTGGACAGAAGAAGAACCACCCCAGATATGAGAGCAGTACTCCAAATTATGACGAATGAATCCCTTATATACTTGAAGCAACTGCTCAGGAGTGAAGTAGCTACGGCATCTGTACAGCATTCCCAGCTTTCGGGAGGCAGCTTTAGCAATGTTGAGGATGTGTGGCTTCCATGACATATTAGAGGAAATGGTGAGGCCTAGCATATCTTTTAGAATTTGGCAGAATGATTGCATCCTGAAATTTGATTGGCGGGAAATCATCTAATTTGGAAAGTGCAATTGATAAATAATGTGGTTTACTACTATTGAATTTAACCAAGTTTCTACCTCCCCATTCGGAGATGCTGCACAGATCCGCATTGATTGATGTAATGATATCAGCTCTAGAAATAGATCTAGTTTGAGAATTAGGGGGAAGGGAAAAATGTGAAGAGTGAAGAGTAGAATCATCAGTGTAAGAATGGATAGAATTAGTCGTAGTGTGAAGTAAACCATTGATAAAAAGAAGGAAGAGAGTAGGTGAAATAGAACTCTGTGGGACACCACTATTGGTAGAGAAAGCGCGAGAGATCAATCCCTCAACAACAACCGCTACGGATTGGTTCTCAAGGAAGCTAGAAATTAGAGAACAAAGTGGAGGAGAGAAACTATAAGATGAAAGTTTAGAAAGCAAAGACTTGTGCCATACCTTGTCAAATACTTTGGAGATGACGAAAGTTTCACCATAATCCCTCAGAGAGGATGACCAAAGATGGGTGCAATAGGAGAGCAGATCACCAAAAGATCTCGCCTGGCAAAAGCCATACTGATGATCCGACAAAAGAATACTGTATGGCGTTCAAGGTAACGGAGAAAATGCGAGTTCAATATTATCTTTTTCTCTTCTATTTTTAATTTATTTTTACTCCTGCTTTTTCGCCCCCCACCAGGCCTTGTTGTGGGTTGATGACCCGTGCCCGAGTGGGCTATTCCCCGTAAAAAAAAAACCTGATGAAATATAGTAAGAAAATAAACATCAAAACAAATAACGGTAAAATTTTAGTTTCATTCATCCCTGTATTAAGATATCTAAACCTACTTTACCTAACCTAACCACAGAACCCAGGAATTATATCTAACCTAACCTAAATTCCCGATATTCCTCGGATGACTAAAACTAAAATAATACCCAACTAACACGTTGGTGGGATAGTCATAAATGTAAGTGCTGTACGAAATTCCATGTTCGAACTAAAATGAATCATTACCCAATTTTATCTTATGAACCAAAGAGAAACATTGGTAAAGATTCATTTTAATGTCTTCATTTTTTACAGGGAAATATATTTTTCTGAGAAAATGTCAGATACTTTACTAAGAAATGGGAAATTCCCAAAGAAAGTGAAGGTCAGATTTAGGTTCTTATAAACAAAACATCAAAATACACCAGAAAAGGTACTTCACTTGTGTAAAATCATAATTTCGGTCATCCTTATGATTTTTCCGATGGTTTGACGTGTTTTAAATGATTTTGAGAGTCACAGAATATCACCCTACGTAAACAAAATGGAGGTGGGGTGATATTCTGTGACTCTCAAAGTGCTTTGAAATCAATGAACAGCCCGTCAGGCTCTATGTCTAAAGTTGTATTTGATATTAAAAGAAATGTGATAACTGCCAATAAGAACAACTCTTGTATCGAATTTGTGTGGATACCGTCCCATGTTGGAATTAGGTATCACGACCGTGCTGATAAACTGGCCAATGAGGCATGCAAGAAAGAAAATGTTGACTGTGACCTTGGCCTGTCCAATGCTGTACTTAAAAACGTTCAAGTCAGAATCATGAACTATGATCTAGAAGAACTGAGAAATGCAGAGAGACCTGGCAGTTGTTAGCATTAGTAGATATGACAAATTTTGTAACAAGAGGTACCGGTATGGCCAGCATAAGGACAGAACCAGACAATGTGATGTAGTCGTGGCCAGAATTAGGCTCGGATACAGACACATCTGGCAAGTTAGTAACGCTTTACCCATACCGAAACACTCAGCATGTAAACTTTGTGATAATCCTTTAAAGCATACACTTAAACACTATATTATTGAATGTGACACTGTCAAAGACTTCAGGCCACCTGACTTATTGTATCATGAACTTTGTTATTCCTACATTGAATCAAGGGGGGTGCTTGAGGACATTCTTGCTGTTTATCCCAAATTTACTAGCCCACAGTAATTAGTCTTCAATTAGAATATGACGTCCAATGTATATGAACCACTCTTGCATGGCAGTGAACAGTGACATCACATGACTGACCTATACATACTGCTAATGAATATGATGTACAGCTCCTCCCCGACTTATGAGCTGCCTCAGTCGTATCAAAATTTTATCAAATTACGTATTTTCGAGTCCCAACGTCAGTAGACAGACAAAATTTTTGTTTGTAATTCGCTTAAAAATGAGAGTCTTGTGATGCTGAGAAGAAAAAGAGACACCCATTTTAAATTTTCTGTGTATTATTTAAGCATTTTCGACTTACGACCTGGATTTGGGTCCCTAACCCCGTCTTAAGTCGGGGAGGAGCTGTATTTCTTTGTATATGAACAGTGACATCACCCACATGACCTATATATACTGTGAATGAATATGATGTATTTCTTTGTGTATGAACCTCTGTCCTGCATGGCAGTGAGAAGTGATACCACCCTTAGTGTAAAGACCTGACTGAATTACTCAGAATAGGCAAACTGTACTCCAAGCTTTGTCAATAAATGTTATAAAAAAAAATTATATATATATATATATATATATATATATATATATATATATATATATATATATATATATATATATATATATATATATATATATATATATATATATATATATATATATATATATATATATATATATATATATATATATATATATACACACAGACAGGTATATATACTGTATATTATACCTGTATATTTTTTCTTTTGGGGGGGTTATAATAAACGCTACTTAACATTTGTGGGTATGAAGCACAGACCTAACCAACCAAACCAAACAAACCTACCTAACCTTACCTAATTTCCCCAGTATATTAAACATTAAGAACTTACTATAATATGGTGAAATTTGAGACATTTTCTGGAGGTGAGATGATATGGCCACATTGGTGCTATGCAGCCCGGGCGGGTTAGTACCTATATACGTATTAACTTTTTTTTTTTTTTTTTTACAAAATTAACTAATTTGCACATGAAATAAAAGTTCAGATTTGGGTAAAACACTTAAATATGCACAAAAAAAAAAAAAAACTTCTCATAAAAAGAAGCCACAGCCATTAACCAAGATATTTAACATTTACTTATGTACAGTATGTTCGTATGTGGTGGTACACACCCAGAACATGGAAAGATGGGCGGTACACAAACAGGTCAGAACATCGAACAACTATCGAGCCCCCCGGTTAGCTTTGGGTAATTATTTACGACTTCACAGTTACGACTTCGTAGTTATGGCAAAAATGTTTATTTAAAATTTCACATTGTTAACCTAACCTACCCAAACATAGCCTAACCTCAAACGAATCGTTATTATTGCAGTTTCGGCCAATACACGGCCGAATGTTTTAACCATCCCCAACCCGGTCCGACTAATTACCCAAATGTAGCCGCAATGAAGTCAAATAATGGTCCTACATGAATAAATCGGACTGCCAACCACTTCTCGACTAGTATTTGGTGTCAGTCACAAAAAATTGGAAAACTTAATTTAAACCGAGTTAATAGATCGCGTGCTTGTACCGAGGGAGCGAGTAATTACCCAAATGTAGTCGCAATTCAAATGATGGTCCTACAAGCGTAGTGGAATCACTTCTCGATTATTATTGGTGTCATAAAGTCACAACAAATTGGTAAACTTACTTTAATCTGAGTTGTCTTAGGTTAGGTACATGCACTCGATCTATTAACTCAGATTAAATTAAGTTTACCAATTTTTTGTGACTTCGTGACACCAAATACTAGTCGAGGTTTGCTAGGTTAGGTACATGCACTCGATCTTTTTAACTCAGATTAAATTAAGTTTACCAATTTTTTGTGACTTCGTGACACCAAATACTAGTCGAGAAGTGATTGGCAGTCCGATTAATTCTTGTAGGACCATCATTTGACTTCATTGCGGCTACATTTGGGTAATTACTCGCTCCCTCGGTACATGCACGCGATCTATTAACTCAGATTAAATTAAGTTTGCCAATTTTTTGTGACTTCGTGACACCAAATACTAGTCGAGAAGTGATTGGCAGTCCGATTAATTCTTGTAGGACCATCATTTGACTTCATTGCGGCTACATTTGGGTAATTACTCGCTCCCTCGGTACATGCACGCGATCTATTAACTCAGATTAAATTAAGTTTGCCAATTTTTTGTGACTTCGTGACACCAAATACTAGTCGAGAAGTGATTGGCAGTCCGATTTATTCATGTAGGACCATTATTTGACTTCATTGCGGCTACATTTGGGTAATTAGTCGGACCCTCCCCAACCTTTAGTAATCCTTATTTGGAGTATTTTTAACTCCATTTCAACAAGGGGGAAAAGAATAACTTCAGAAATGAATTTTTGAAGTTTTCCATACTTACAACAGTATGGCTCTGGGGCATGCGCAGTGAGGTGCCGTGTCATGACGTGTCCTTGGCCCCTCAACTTCTAATTAAGGTATTGGTAATTATATATGACTAACCTGCGGGCGAAATTGATTGAAAACAATTATAAAAACGCCGAATTTTCATTTTTATATTATAGTGGACACATGTTTTTTGAGGAAATGTTAAAAAACGGATATTTTTTAAAATAAAAGCTACTTAACATTTGTGGTTATGAAGAACAGACCTAACCAACCAAACCTACCTAACCTTACCTAACTTCCCTGGTATATTAAACAGAAAGAACTTACTATAATATGGTGAAATTTGAGGCATTTCTTGAGGCGAGATATGGCCACATCGGCACTATGCAGCCCGGGTGGGTTAGTCCTATATATTAACCACAGAATTTTATAGTAAATCTCTAGAATCTGAGATGGGAGGGGGGCTTATCATCAGAAACTATTGATTTGCGCCAGAAATGAAGGTCAAATTCGTTCATAACACATCCAAAAACCATCGAAAAAATACAGTTTCAACTTCAATTTCGTAGAGTGGCAACATAAGAAAATTTACCGGTCTGCAATGAAACCTAACCTAAGCCTAGCCTAGCCTAGCCTAGCCTAACCTAAGCCTAACCAAACATTTTGAAACGAGGGAGGAGAGGATGGAGGAAGATATAAGGCTATGTCAAGACGTCTTGATATTTTTGCATTTTTTTCTTCGTTGAATTCAACTTTCGACACTACTTCCAAATAAATCACGATCCATGAATAGTTGACATATAATGTAACCTACATTTAAAGTCCAAACATTAACAGTTTCTTCAAAGAAATAAAAATAATACCAACCGAAAAAATAATAACTCTTAACCAAAAGCATAAATACATGATTAGGCATAAGTGTTTTAAATGCACCAACACATTTATCTTTATTATAGGTCTTACCTTCTTGACCTCGAACCTCTTCTTGTCCTGCTTAGAGGTGCTTGAGGAGGGCACCTCGACTTCTTCCTCCTGTGGATCCACCTCCATCGCTGACATTTTATTTCTTCAGCAATGTTACCATCAACAAGGTCCTGCCAGGCTCACCACTTGTTACCTTCACCAACACCGCCACTGGCTCCAGTCATTATACCTTGCATTATGATAATACCCATAAAATTTACCCAACAATAATGTTAATTATTTATTATTCACTGTGAACAAATAAGCAAATTATGCGAGGGATATAATTTTGTTACCTTCCCAATCAGGTATTTTCACGGTAAATATTAAGGTAGAGAAGGGCTCACTTTTGAATAGTGAATTGCCCAAATATGTAATTTTTAGTTAATTAATAAGCTATTTCATCCACGGTGGGGGATAAAAGCACTGTCGAGTCCAATGAGATGAATTTACGGTGAGAAAAAGCAAGAGAGGATGCGAACAATCTTCCTGTTTGAAGACGGTTTAACAACACTGACCCAAATTGTGTTCTCAGAAGAGGGTATAAGAAATATATTGTCAAAGCTAAAGATTCACGAGAGTCCCGGACCCGACATAGTGCACCCCAGAGTGTTAAGAGAACTGTGTAACAAGCTTGCGGATCCCCTGAAGATCTTGTTCTGTAAATGCCCGGATGAGCAAAAGGTCCCCCGATAACTGGGAAATGGGGTATTCAGGAAGGGTGATCGTCACTCCACGAATAAGTATAGACCAGTGAGCCTGACCAGCATAGTGTGTTAAGTACTAGAGAGTATTATAGGAGATGCCATTATCGAACAACTACAAAGAAACAACCTTGTAAAGGACTGCCAACAGGGTTTTATGCCGGGACGCTCCTGCTTAACACAATTAAATACTCAAGGTACTGGATGTTTGGACTCAATTTCTGGAAGAGGGTGGTAATATCGACAACATATACCTAGATTTAGTGAAGGCTTTCGACGACATTCCCCATGAAAGACTAATTAAACTGGAATGGTACGAGCAAGTGTCCCAGCGTGGATTGGAGACTTTACTCATGATCGAAAACAGTGTATGGTGATTAATGGTACGAAATCGTCATGTGTACAGTCAACAAAAAAAAAAAAAAAAATCTGCACCTTTATGGTGTTATACAATATGACACACCAGACCAAGAATTCTGAACAACATTCATTTACGCTGGTGATTCCTGTGAATTTATCTGTATTAACTATATGTGATATAAAAAATACATCATACTGGTTATACAATGCATCACACAACCAAAAATACCAACCTTACCAAATTAACATGGCCTCAGTCATTGATCGTTGCAAAGGCCATCAGACCAAGAGGTGCATAATTTTTTTTTGCTGATTGTACCTGTGACAGCGGGGTACCACTGTAATGACTACGGTCATACACGTCAGTTAACGTACAATCAGACGATTCATATTACGATCAATAGCCCACAAAACATGTAGCTAGGCCTTCATTTGAGTCCCTCATCGGAGGAGTCCGTATTCTCATTACTTCAGGACGCCTGAGTCCTCCGTTTTCTCTCACTCTTATAGTGCACCAGAGACTTCATTATTCCTTAGTAATGACAGAATTTGAAATTGCAACGGTGGATGCAATTGGTGAGGCAACTTAGATATGTCTGTTTATAGTTGGAACATTCAAGATCCATTGTGAGTGGTGTTGAAAGCTTCAATTGTCCTTACTGTTAGTAAAACTTGTCAAGTAAGTGAGTGTCCAGTTTGTCAGTCTGAATGGCATATCTTTATGTCGTCAGTGGGGATAACCATGAGTTTCCAAGTGCTACTGAAGTTAGATTATTTTAATGCCCAAACATCAGAGAATCTGATGTTTGTAGTTTAGTTAGTGTCAGTTGTCTATTTTAGAAAGTCATTAATCTACTGAAAAGATTCTGTCAAACTCAAAATCTCCAAGACCTAACGGCTGTTCCTCCTTGGCTGTGGTTTGTGGTTTCCGGCAAGTAGAGTTGTTAGTGCGTATGTAACTCCATTTCACCTCTTTTCTGACAAACTCAATCTCTGATTAGATTATAAAGATAGACGTGGAAAATTAGCCTGACCTGTGACACTGACGGTCACAGCAAGGTGTACAGCGACCAATTTGTATAGAAGGTCTGTTATTGGTGAGATTAGTCTTTCTGGTAGGTATGCGTGGGCCGGAAGTGCCCCAGGCTCACATTTATGCGGGTGCACGAGGAAAAATCACACATTCGTGACTTTTCCTCAACGCATCTCCAGGTATGTGAACGATTGTTTCCCGCAGTCATGTTAAGTCAGTTTAACTTAGTCGATTTTGTGAATATCAGTGTTCATGTTTTAACAGTGAAATACTCCTGTGCCAAATAAGTCGAGTAACGTAAATATCGTCTGTATCGTTGCCAGACGTATGTTTTGTATAGTTGAAGTTAGACATTTACACATTCGTGACTCTTCCTCAACGCATCTCCAGGCACTGTTTGTGTTGGCACTACTACTGAGGATTGGTAGCCGCCTATGGGCAAGATGGTTCTCGAAGGATGTCTTTAATATGGCGAGATTAGAATCCCAGGACAGGATTTCTCGGGAAGCGCCATAAAGACACACTGCCACGAGTCCACCCTCCCTCCCCCCGGCGCTCCTTGCAAGCGAGCCTCAGCTTGGCGGTCGGTGTAAACAAGTCCCGCACAGTGGACTCCGTCTTGGGAGTGTGGTCCATCCAGTGATCCTGGCCAATTGTATTGAGCAGTATTGGTATCAATAATTGGGGATTCACTAGCAGAAATATAGTGATCCCAGGTTAAGTATTGAACCCATGAATGTTGGTGTTACCAGCGGTACTGTTGATTGTAGGAGTTGAGTTTTCCTCCCAGGTGTATGTACTACAACTGAATGAGAGTTAAAGTGCCATGTTCCTTCCAAACTGACAGGATGTGTTTGATGTTGTTCTAATTGTGGAGTTTGTCAAGTGTGTTATGTATTTATCTGTATTGATTATGAAGTAATACCCCGAGTGTACAATGTTATAATCAAGAAATGATCTATTTTACTATTCAAGGTAAAGTCCGACCTAGGTGGTCCAGTCTTGTCTGAGTGAACTTAACATCTTATTCACTCCCTGTGTTAATAAATATTAAATTAATAAATTACGAGTATCACCACTCTATTCCTTTCACACATTGGTTCTCAGAAAATAATATTAGTAACTCACCTTATACTGCCAGATCTGGGGTCACTAATTCTTAGGGGAATAACTTAACTCTATTCTTAATTTCTAAGGGTTGCTGCCACCAGACCCCCTCTGGGCAGTATGTAGCTCGTTAGGTAGCAGGCAGAGTGGACTCGGCATTGGGTTAGGTTTTTCATTGACCAGATCGAAAAGGGGAAGGAAGGGTGAAACCATAACATGCCTTAGTTCTTTTAATTGTTCTTTCTACTTACTTCAGTTCATTGGTTACTACCTAACCTCAGTTATTTTTGGTAGCATGTCGAGGGTCTAGGCACATGGGTATGGCAATTCTGATATTAGGTCCCTTGGACGGAAATAAAAGTGTTATACTGCGGGAAATGAATACCCCTGATATACTCAAAGAAAATGTTTATTAAAATGGACTCAAAGTGGGGAAAAATATATTATTAACATATAACTCCTAGGCTGTACTCAACTGCAAATTACATTTCATTCCATACATTACAACTTCCATATGATACTTCACTAACTGTTGGTAGTGCATAATTATGAGATGCACTCACAACACACAACATGTTATTACTGAAACCAACTTATACATGGGTCCACTATCCAACATGGGATACTTATTCCAGAATTACCCCAAACACATACAACAACACTGAGGACCTATAACTTCCCGGGAGCATCCCAGGGTATGACACTGGGGCTCACGACTGTGGCTGTGATCGGTGGTAGCTAGACACATGGCGAGTGTGGAGTCTGGCTCCACGAGGCAGTGTGGAGCCGATTAATCATGCCGAATCAGCGCCATCGCCCATATATTGATCACTGGTGAATATCCACCAGCTCCGAGCGACCGGTGGGGTTTCAATTAAGTCCACCCTCGATCTGAGAACGAAGGTGGATGGCGTTACGGGAGGTTTAATCCTCCCGCTCACCCGAGGTTATATACCCCTGAGTTGCCAGCGATCGCTACTCACGAAGTGACAGAAATTACAAACAACCCAACTGTTACTCATTCAAGGATGACCCTCAGTTGACAAAGGTCTGGCGAATTATTAAAGTTGATTTACCCAGACTAATTCAAGATTGAGTTTGCCAGTAGAGAGTGAAATAAACGTATTGACAACTGTGTTCGAAGGCGGGACTTACTGGGAGGGATCCTGAGTGTAAAACGAATGGGAAAAACACGCCTCTCCTTAATGCTATGAATACATACAATTAGCTTATACTACAGACGGGCAAAGGGGGACCTAGTTGAGGTGTATAAGCATCTCAGGGGGCACTACTCAGTTGAGTGTCCTTACTTGGAGCTGGCGGACGCTCGCCCCACAAGGGGTCACAGCTCAAGATTGAAAAAGCCGCAAGTCCAGAAAACCGTGAGGGCAAACTTTTTCGGAGTGAGGGTTGTAAACTCTTGGAACAATCTACCAGAGAGTGTTGTGACGGCACCGAGTGTGAGCTCTTTCAAGAGAAGACTTGACCAACACTGGAGCGGGTTCAGGTACATTCAGGAGCCGGTGCATGCCCAGTATTTGCCAACAGTGCGTGACAGAGACGTGACCAAGCGCCCGGGCGGCTAGTGAGCCGATCTTTTGGTGAAGAAGATAAATGAAAAGGAAAAGTAATCAGAGACGTGACCGACCGCCCAAGCGGCTAACAAGCCGATCAGTGGCGAAGAGGATAAAAGTAAAGGTAAAAGTTGACAAATAAGATGGTTATTTTACACGTTCAGATAGGACTGGACCCTTAGGTCTTACTTTTACAAGTAGCAAAATAAATCTTCAATTCTTGGTTGCAACATTAAACAATCATTATATTATTTCATTGTCACTACAGATGGTTCTATGACACACTTGACAATATCCCAAATTAACTTATCATATGAGGTTATTTCAGAAAGAACAACCTGGCGCTTTTCCTTCAGTTGATGTACTCAACTCACATAACA